GGTAGAGAGAGGAGGGAGCAGAGGGAGACATAGTGGGAGAGAGAGGGGGGAGATAGAGAGAACGAGGGGGAGTTTAGTTTTAGTAGAGGTTTTACGGCACTCGCAACTGCATAAGGTCATATGAGCGCCAGAAGATTAGAGGTGCTACAAGCGAGTAACAAACATTTTAAAAAAGAGGGGGAGATACGGAAGATAGATGTTTGATAGAAAAGAAAAAGCAAACCACCCTAGAGCACTCGCCAACCACCCACGAAGGGGAGTAAAAGAGGGAGACAGACAGACAGACAGACAGACAGACAGACAGACAGACAGACAGAAAGACAGACAGACAGATAGACAGACAGAGCGAAAAAGAAGAGAAAGAAATAAATATAGAAAGAAAGAATGAAAAATACAAATAAAGAAAGAAAAACATGAAAGAGAGAGGGAGAGAAAAAATGTGAAAGAAGAAAGAACGAAAAAAAAGACAGAAGAAAAAGGAAAAAAAACCCAGAACGTGAGCAATGTACTACTAGCGCAATTGGTTGTGAGACGAGGCGCGGCTAATCGCCAGTGACAGGTTAACAGCACCAGGCCACGCTCTGCTCCCAGGGCCCGCCACACCTTGGGCGAGTGGGCGGAATGTGGGAGCACCACAGGGGGGTCCACAACACACAACGTTCGGGTGGTGGTTAACTAGGGGAATGTTGGTTTCAAACAGTAAATTATGACACAGAACGTTGGGGTGGTTAACTAGGGGAATGTTTGTTTCAAAAAGTAAATTATGACAGAGCGCCGGGGTGGTTAACTGGGAAAATTTTGTTTCAAACAGTATGGTTAACTAGGAAAATGTTTGTTTAAAAAAGTAAATTATGACAAATAGCGCTAGAATGGTTTGTTTGTTTCAAACAGAAAATATGACACAGAACGTTGGGGTGGTTAACTAAGAAAAAGTTTGTTTGTTTCGAATAACGCTAGAAAGGTTAACTAGGAAAATGTCTGTAGGAGGGAAAGAAGGCAAAAGAGATAGAAGGAAAGACAGACAGAAAGAAAGACAGACAGACAGAAAGAAAGAAAAAAGAAAGAAAGAAAGAAAGAAAGAAAGAAAGAAAGAAACAACAGACAGAAAGGTGAAGAAAGACATCAATAAATAGAGAAAGAGATATAACATCAGTAGTTCCATTCATCCATTTATTCACTCATTTATTCATCCATCCATCCATCCATCCATCCATTTCGCCGATCCATCCGGTACTCACAGGCGTCCGTACCATACTGTGTTTGCACCATGCTGTAAGGGCTCTGGCTCTCCTGGTGGTACGGGTAGGAGGGAAAGAAGGAAAGAGAGACAGAAAGACAGACGTGAAGACAGAAAGAAAGACAAAGAAAGGAAGGAAGAAAAGAACAACGGACAGAAAGATAAAGTTCATTTTTTTAAAGAGATAATATAAAATCATATTTATTCATTCACTCATTTATTTATTCATTCACTCATTTATTCATTCACTCATCTATCCATCCATCCATCCACCCATCGTGTGCTATACTCACAGGCGTCCGTGCCGTACTGTGTCTGCAGCATGCTGTAAGGGCTCTGACTGCCCTGATGGTACGGGTAGGAGGCTTGCATGAAGCTCCCAGCGTTCTGACCGTGGCCCATATACACACTCATGTTGTTGCTGGTGGTGTTGTTGCTGCTGCTACTGCTGTTGTCGGCGTTGTCGGCGTCCGCTGCCGCGTTGCTGCTGCTGCTGTTGTTGTGGTGGTGGTGGTGATGGTGGTTGATGCTGCTGTTGCTAATGCTGTTGTTGCTGCTACTACCTCCGACCACGACGCCGGATGATGATGATGTTGCTGTTGCTGCTGCTGCTACTCCGTTTTGGCTGTCGGGGCGGCTACCGTCGTGGTTGTTGTTGTTGCTGCTCCCGTCTCGAGACGGTTGCTGCTGTAGTTGCTGTTGCGACTGTTGCTGAATGTGATGATGGTGCTGCTGTTGTTGGTGTTGGTGTTGGTGGTGGGGGAGGTGGAGGTGGTTAGATGATGTTGTTGACGAGGAAGAGGACGACGAGGATGATGAGGGAGGCGCTGAAGGCGGTGGTGGTGGCTGTTGGTGAAGGTGGGAATGCTGTTGTTGTTGTTGCTGCTGCTGCTGCTGTAGAGAAAGCTGCTGCTGCTGTTGTTGTTGCTGGTGATGAGACGATAAGAGTCCCGGGTCGTAGCTACTGCTGCTGCTGTTTGAGCTGAGAATGTTTCTGTGGGTGGAAAAAAGAAGAAAAAAAAACAGATTTAGCTTTAGTTATAGTAGAGGTTTTACGGCGCTCGCAACTGCATAAGGTCATATGTGCACCAGAAGATCTGAGGTGTTACAAGAGAGTAATAACAAACATAAAAAAGAAGAAGGGGAGATAAGGACAATAGATGTTTGATAGGAAAGAAGGAGCA